ATAAGTCCATTCTGAATCACCGTTTCAGTCAACAAAAGCAAGAAAAAATATGTTGTTTCTTTGTGAGCAATAGCAGTGTTCATTCTGGCACAGAGCCAGGGTTTATTTTCCTTTTTTACAGATTTTATTATTTTTTTATTCATGAGAGACAGAGAGAGAAAGGCAGAGACATAGCGACATAGGCAGAGGGAGAAGCAGGCTACTCACAAGAAGCCCGTTGCCAGGACTGAACCCCGGATCCAGGGTTGGGGGGGTGTTTAACATTCTTTTAGATTCCCTGGGGAGCAAACAATTCCAAAGTGCTCAATTAAAAAGTTTGCTACAAACTTTGAATCCTATTCTAAACCACATCAAGATGTGATCACTTTTAATGATCCCACAAAATATTATAGTAACCAGGCAAACTAGAATGAGTAATAAGAAAAGCCATGCTGGTTTCCACAAAAATTAAATGACAGTCAATGAGAAAGTTGATGGATTCGCAAACAGCAGGGAATAACCATATTCTAAATCATTTGTTTTGTTTGTTTTTAAGTAAGTTCCACACCCAACATGGGGTCTGAACTCAAGACTCTGAGGTAAGAGTTGCATGCTCTACCAACTGAGTCAGGTAGGTGCCCCTATACAATTTCCTTTGATTAAAATAGGAAAAAAAGAGGGATCCCTGGGTGGCGCAGCGGTTTAGCGCCTGCCTTTGGCCCAGGGCGTGATCCTGGAGACCCGGGATCGAGTCCCACGTCGGGCTCCCGGTGCATGGAGCCTGCTTCTCCCTCTGCCTATGTCTCTGCCCCTCTCTCTCTCTCTCTCTCTCTCTCTCTCTGTGTGTGTGTGTGACTATCATAAATAAATAAAAATTAAAAAAAAAATAAAATAGGTAAAGAGCAATAATAAATAATGCCACCTCATAAGAGTTGCCTGCCGTAACTCTAAATTAAATATAATACTTTAAATTTGGATAAACCTCCAAATTTCAAATTCCAGAATATTAATTTTCTTGGATGTTGTATGAAGCTAAGACCAGGCAGGAATTCATTTCTTTCACTAATGAAAGTTTCCTTGGAGTATTCACTCACCACAGGTGTTATTTTCAACTCCAAACAACTTTGTTTGCTAAAACTCAATGTCCTTGTGTTAAACAACATGAAAAGGTGTTTCAAAACTTAGCACCACTGATAAAAGAATGAGTTTATAGTTTATTTATAGTTTTTTTTAAAGATTTTATTTATTTATTCATTCATAGAGATGCAGAGAGAGAGAGAGTAGCAGAGACACAGGCAGAGGGAGAAGCAGGCTCCCTCCATGCAGAGAGCCCAACGTGGGACTCGAGCCAGGGTCCCCAGGATCACGCCCTGGGCTGCAGGCGGCGCTAAACCGCTGCGCCACCGGGGCTGTCCGAGTTTATAGTTTAAATTTCAATTAGGTTGAACTTTCCTACAAAATTTAGGACTAGCACAAGAAACAAAGCAAAGCAGAAGAAACAGTTGAGATGATTATCAAAAATCTTTAACCTATTTAAAGCCACTTGAGGAGCATGTGCTCCTTAAAATGTGAAAGCATTTCTTATTCAAACTGCTGCTTCAACTGAAATAAAATTTCCGAGAAACTCTACCTTTTAAATTACCAAATAATCAGACTGTATACCACAAAGGAGGAAATTCTACATCCTAAATTCTTTCTCTCATACTATTTGGACACTAAGCAGACTGCAAAAACAGATGATCTTAAAAATATTTATTTTTAGGCAAGAAATTTCACCAAATTGATAGATATTTACAGTAAGGTGTTCTGGAGATCATAGATATTACCTTACTCATATTTGGATTTTGTTTTTTTTTTTTAATAGTATACTTGATCCTTAGCATCACTCCTCCATTCTTCAGAGAAGGGAAAAAACAAAAAGGTGGGGCGCCTCGGTGGCTCAGCAGATTAAGCAGATAAGGGTTAAGCAACTGCCTTCCAGCTCAGGTCAGGATCCCAAGGTCCTGAAATAGAGCCCTGCAAAGGGGCTTCCTGCTCAGTGGGGAGCCTGCTTCTCCCTTTCCCTCTGCCATTCCTCCTGCTTGAACTCTGATGAGCGCTCTCTGGCAAATAAAAAAATAAAATCTTAAAAAAATGAAAAGGAAATTATATCCAACAGATTACTTTCTCCTTAATTTCTCATTTTGAGCTTGAAAAAATGAGCATGATTTGTACAACCAGGGGTGAGATCAACATAAAATGGAAAAACAGTAAGGAGGATTAAATAAAATTAATACAGGACACCAAATTGGATTTTTAAATCCCTTAGAGGGAATTATTTAGGTGCTACTCTAAGGTTAAACAGTTACCTGAATCTTTGAGAGGAAACACTTCAAAACATCAGCTTCTAAACAAACAAGTTAAAGGAAGAAAGTAAATACCCGGGACACCTGGGTGGCTCAGCGGTTGAGCGCCTGCCTTTGGCTCAGGGCGTGATCCTGGAGCTCCAGGATCAAAGTCCCCACATCAGGTTCCCTGCATGGGACCTGCTTCTCCCTCTGCCTATGTCTCTCATGAATAATTTTTTAAAAATTTTTAAAAAGAAAGTAAATACCCATTCCCTACATACTAAAATCAGCTACTCCTGGGTTTGAGCAAAGATGTAATTTTCCGATTGTTAACTCTCAAAAGTTATTTTAATCCCATGGAAGGAAGTACTTGGTTCAATGAATATTCACATTAGAATTCCATGGCATCAAGAATCACTGACTCTGGGCAGCATGGATGGCTCAGCGAATTGAGCGTCTGCCTTTGGCTCAGGGCGTGATCCTGGAGTTCCAAGACCAGAGTCCCACGTCAGGCTCCCTGCATGAAGCCTGATTCTCCCTCTGCCTGTGTCTGCCTCTCTCTGTCTCTCATAAATAAATAAAATCTTAAAACAAAAAATCACTGACCCTGCCCAGAAATCTACAGGTGAGCATAATCCAAAATTAATTTCAATTTTAAAGTTAAATAATAAATAGCCCAAATCCTGTATTTCATGAATCTACTTTCCACAAAAACATAAATGAAAAGCAGCTATCAAAAAAAAAAAAAAAGAAGAAAGAAAGAAAAAGAAAAAGAAAAAAGAAAAAGAAAAAGCAGCTATCTTCCTAACACAGTCCTCTTGTACAGACTGATGTCCATTTAGGTCCATCTGTTTGCTTCATAAAATATGTATCTTTTCTACATCTTCAACTACCATTAAACTTTCTAAAATGTCTACTCAGGGCCCCTGGGTGGCTCAGCTGGTTAAGCGCTGCCTTTGGCTCAGGTCAAGATCCCATGGTCCTGAGATGGAGCCATGAGTTGTTGGGCTCCCTGCTCAGAGAAGCCTGCTTTGCCCTCTGCCCCTCCCTGTCCCACTTGTGCTCTCTCTCAAATAACTACTTAAAAAAGAAAGTCAACTCAGAAACCAGTTTCTTCCACTTAAATTGATTTTAAAGAACTTAAAAATTTCAATCCTGGACCCATCCCTACTTCTCTCCTACATCTAGTTCACTGATGGGTCACAAATTTAATACTACTCAAGATACCGACTTTCTTTGAGGCCATATATATGTATATATACATACATATATATACGTATGTCTACGTGTGTATATGTGTATATACATATATATGTGTATATATATGCTTTATTTCTGAATCTTAACATAGCAAGATGATGTTTTCAGGAAAGCTAGTTTTAGATATTTTAATATTTAATATCTTCATACTTTAACACACAGTTCAAAAAGTTACCTATTTCCAAAACTCTTGTTTCCGGAGGCCAGAAATACCCTTCTTTCCTCCTGAGCGATTTGTTTTTGATACCTTACGTTACATTCTGCTTTGTAATGTGGTTACCTGAGAATATTTTTTCTTTTGATTGGTAAACTCCTAAAAGGTAGAATTGCAATTTCAATTACTCCAACTCAGCAAGTCTCCCTCTTTACTAACCCATAGGAGACGTTCAAGAAAATAACTGTGGAGTTTCTCTAGCCACTTGACACTATCAATTTTCCACGGCAAATTTTTGGGAGCTTTGTGAAGGTATAGATTTAAGCTAACAGTTCACTTTTACTTCCCTTAGCCACAACAAGCACGCTTCTCCATAGGGATTGATGAAATCGTCTAGGTCTGAAAGAGTAACAATCACCTTATGACTCACCCCACTTGGTCTGAATTCAGCATATGAATCAACACATGAACTGACTGTTGTACACAGAGCTCTTTAGAACTCTCAGACATCAAGTTGAGAAAACCAGCCCCAAAAGTAGGCCAGAATCAACCCTCCCCCCTTTTCTTAAACTTCTCAGTCACTGATGCTCCCACGCTCTCGCACCCACCTTGAAGAATTCAAGCTGTCAAATTACTTGCTGCGTACCTAGTGGCGACGGAGACACATCTAGTTTGCTAGCGCTCTAGGTCACGGCCCCAATGATAAGCTTAGGAAGAAATCCTTCAGAAGGGTGGGATCCCCGCCCCGAGGCATTTCCTAACCTGTTAGCCTAGCCCCAGCCTCACGACTTCCCGCACTACTCCTTTTCCCTCCGTTCTGCAGTCTCTGTCCTGCGACAGTCCCAGAGTGTTCCCGACATCTGGGTTAGTTCAAGGACTCGGGGCGGGAGGGGTCACGCTGTGGGCAAAAGGCACCGAGGGCTGAAGCGGGAGCTAGGGGGTCCGCCTCAGGCCCCCGAGGAAGCGGACAGGGCTAGGAGCAAAGACGGGCCCACCACGCTTAAAGGCGGTGCGTGTGTGTGTGTGGGGGGCGCCCGGCTTCTCCCCCCCGCCTTCCCCCAAGCTCGCTGAAGGGTGGGCTGTGGGAGATGGAGAGGTCCCCGATCCCAGGATCTCCGCTCTGGGCCGGTTAGGGCCCGGACGCCGGCCCGGGACGTCCCTCAGCGGAGCTTTCCGAGGTGCCGGCGGGGTGAACCGCTGAGGCCAAAGGAAGGCACTTCAGGCGCCCCGGCCAGTTAGGAGAAGCGAAGAGGAACTGCCCGGCCCCACTGGCCCCTCACCTTCATGGCCGCGACCGCCGCGTCTCGGTCGGCTCTGCCGGGGAACTAAGCACCATACCAGCCCTCCGTACAGCCGCCCTCCTGCCTTCTAGGCGGCGACTACGGCGCCTCTTGTGGTGACCGAGCGTCCCGACGTAAGAGGCGTAGTCACGCCCGCCTCGCGCCCCCAGGAAGAGCGCCGAGCGGCGGCCGAGTCGGCCAATCCGGAGCCAACGCTCTGGGGGTTGGTCACCAGAGCCAATGAGGAGGCGGGGATGGGGCGGGGCTTCTGGCCTGCCGGGTAGGCGGAGGAAGACTCCGTTCCGGCCGGCGCGGAGATGGGCGGGTCTGGGCGTGGCGGGAGGGTCCGCTGGCGCTGATTTCTTGGTGGTTCGTTGAAATAGGAGTCCGCGTTTTCTGAGGAACCTGTGCGGTAGATTTAGCTTTGTAGCTATATGGTCAAGTGTCCAGGACAGGAAAGGCAGGAAGAGACGTGGTAAATTTGAAAACGCCGGTTGGTTTGAAGTCCCCCCCCGCCTTTTATTTTTTTAATAATAGCCGTCAGAGCAGGGCCTCGAATTTCCTCCCGAGGTGTTGAAGCCTCCTCACACTCGGTGGTGACCTTAGGTCTCCTCTCTGGAGGGTCGGCGAGCTGAGGCAAGCTGCTCACTCAGACACCTGACTTTCCTAACAAGGTGTTATTGCGAACAGTTAAACCAACGGTTCTCAAATCTCAGCTGCTCTTTCCGAGCGACGTTCAAAATAACCAAATCTTAATCCTAACACAATGAGGGAATTCGGATGAAAAATGGAGTTCGAAAAATAAAGTATGGATGTCTTCAACCCGGCTGAATGACCCAGGGTTGGTTTACCTATACTTTCTTTCCCCTGTAACTCCACCAGTATTTAAAGAAGGAGACATTTAGATGTCAATTCACTCGCCTCTCATAGGATCTGTTTTTCTTTTCTTTTAAGATTTTATTTATTCACGAGAGACACACAGAGGTAGAGAAGCAGGCTGCCCGCCCAGAGCCGGATGCAGACTCCATCCCAGGACACCAGGATCACCACCTGAGCCAAAGGCAAATGCTCAACCACTGAGCCACCCAGGTGCTCCTGTTCTATTTCTTTTAAGTAGACTTGTTTATATGCACTACGTCAGATTGAATAAAACACAAAGGCACACCACTTCCTTACGCTGCAAGAATACTTATTTTTTAAAGTTATATTTTACCGTGCTTAATGCTGTTTAACTTCTTACCCTATATAGTCCTGAATTTTCTTCTTTGGCAATAAAAATACAAAGAAAGCCTTTCACCATGTTGGGGCAAGCAGCTGAGCTTCACTGGAAAAGAAAGTATTAATTTATTCTTCTAATGATCTAAGCACAAAGAAACTCAATAAAAACTTGCTGGTAGTACAAAGCCATAATTCTCCCTCCTAAGAAAGGAAGCTGGCAGGCCTACCTCAAAGTTAACGAATAAACACATCAAAAGATACTCAACATCATTAGCCATTAGGGAAATGCAAATCAAAACCACAAAAAGATACCACTTCACACCCACTGGGATGGCTAAAATCAAAGAGATATTAGTGTTGTGAGAATGGAGAAATTGGAACCTTAGTATATTGCTGGTGGAACTGCAAAATGGTGCAGCTGCTTAGGAAAACAATCTGGCAGTACCTCAAAATGTTAAACATAGAGTTACCATATGACCCAGCAATCCCTGGGTGGCTCAGCAGTTAAGTGCCTGCCTTGGGCCCAGGGTGTGATCCTGGAATCCCGGGATCGGGTCCCACGTCGGGCTCCCTGCATGGAGCCTGCTTCTCCCTCTGCCTGTGTCTCTGCCCCTCTCTCTGTGTGACTCTCATGAATAAATAGATCTTTTTAAAAAAATCTGAATTCCTTCGGCTCAGGAATATTTAGCCAAAATAGGAATGAAGTACTGACACATGCTACAACATTGGATGTATCTTGAAAATGTTGATGCTAAGTGAAAGAAGTCAGTCACAAAAGGTCACATATTGTATGATTCCACTTGTAAGAAATGTCCAGAATAGGCAAATACATAGAGACAGGAAGTAGAGTAGTATTTGCCAGAGGTTGAGGGAAGGGGTTAGGGAGAAATGAAGTGCCTGCTAGTGGGCAGTTTCTTTTTGGGGTGATGAAAATTTTTTTAAAGTAACTGTAGTGGGGGCACCTGACTGGCTCACTCAGTGGATCATGCAACTCTTGATCTCTGGATTGTGAGTTCAAGCCTCACACTGGACATAGAGTTTAAGTTACAAAAACAAAACAAAACACCCCAAAACAAACTAACAAAAATTTAATAAAATTAGCCATGAGGTGATATTTGCACAGCTCTGTAAATATACTAAAAACTATTAAATTGTACTATTTTTTAAAAAAGTTATGTTCCACTCCCAGTATGAGCTTGAACTCACAACCCTGGTATCAAGAGTCACATTCTCTACCGACTCAGCCAGCAGGCACCTCTAAATTGTGTTATTTAAATGAGTAAATTGTATGATAAATGAATTAAATCTCAATACAGCTTTAACGATAATAGAGATATTGAGAAAAAACATACCTAAACAAAGATTTAAAGCAACTGGAGAGTAAATAGAGGAAGGCAATTAAAACAACCAAGGGTACACCTGAAACTAACACTATATGTTAATTATACTGGAATTAAAATAATAAATAAATAAAACAACAGCAACAACCAAGGATAGAGAGTATTAGAGACCATTTAAAAACTGCAATTCTGGGATCCCTGGGTGGCGCAGCGGTTTGGCGCCTGCCTTTGGCCCAGGGCACGATCCTGGAGACCCGGGATCGAATCCCATGTCGGGCTCCCGGTGCATGGAGCCTGCTTCTCCCTCTGCCTATGTCTCTGCCTCTCTCTCTCTCTCTCTCTGACTATCATAAATAAATAAAATAATAAAAAAAAATAAAAACTGCAATTCTTAAGAAATTCTTGAGGAAGACTTATTTATGCTGTAAGATGGAGCCCCTAGTTGGGCTCCATGCTCAGAGCAGAATCAGCCTGGGATTCTCTCTCCCCTTTCCTGAGCCCCTCCCCCACTCAGGCTCACCTTCTCTCTCTAAAAATAAATAAATAGAGGGCACCTGGCTCAGTGGTTGAGTGTCTGCCTTCGGCTCAGGTGGTGATCCAGAGGTCCTGGGATCGAGTCCTACATCAGGCCCTATGTCTCTGCCTCTCTGTGTGTCTAAAATGAATGAATGAATGAATGAATGAATGAATAAATAAATAAATAAATAAATAAATAAAATCTTTATATAAATTCATACATAAAATCTCTTAAAAAATCATAAGGGAGTAAATAAGGCACACATGAGTTCACAGTCTCTGAATAAGTTGGCACCTCCTAAATCTTGAGAGGCATTTTGTGCTTAAACATCATACTTTTTTTTTAATTTTTTTATTTATTTATGATAGTCACAGAGAGAGAGAGAGAGGCAGAGACACAGGCAGAGGGAGAAGCAGGCTCCATGCACCGGGAGCCTGATGTGGGATTCGATCCCGGGTCTCCAGGATCGCGCCCTGGGCCAAAGGCAGGCGCCAAATGGCTGTGCCACCCAGGGATCCCAAACATCATACTTTTTTAATAAAGGAGATACATTATATGATCAAAATTTTTCCTTTGTTTCAAGTTTTATCTGACACCTTTCAATTGTGTATTAATTGTACCAATTGTGATTCAGGAAAATGTAGTCTGTTTGCTAATCTAATCATAACAGCCTAGTACTTTGTATTTCAGAGTCAAAAAAGTATTACCAAGATACATGGGATAATTTATTGCAGCTCAACTACTTGTTTAGGAGGTAATTAGACTGTTACTTCCAGTTGGGTGTTTTTAATCCCTCAAAAAAACTTTATTGTATTCACAATGTGTATAAGTCAATTAAATAATTTCAAAACCTCTCAAATCCAAAACAAAGCAAACATTATCTACAGTTTTTGAAGCTACTGAAAAATCTTTCTTTCAACATCATGTGTATTCATAAAACATTAGGGTATAAAGCTAGCTATTTTTATTCTAGCAATCGATTTTCTCAGAGATAAAAGGTCATAGGGCACCTGGGTGTGCAGTTGGTTAAGCACGCAACTCTTGATTTCGGCTCAGGTCATGATCTCAGGGTCATGGGATTTGGCTCTGCACTCAGCACCAAGTCTGCTTAAGTTTCTCCCTCTCCCTCTGCTGCCCTCCCTGCTCTTACTCTATCAAATAAGTAAATAAATCTTTAAAAAATATATATTTAAAAATGAAAAGTCATGGAAGAAACATGTGAGTCTTTTTGCAAAGTTGTTTAGCAACCTGCTACACCAAGCTATTTCTTATTTTGGAAGATTTCAAACATATATGAAGTAAATAGAACAGTGTGATGAACTCTCATGTATATATAATCCAGTTTTCACAATTCACTACCTTCTGCCTTCATCTCATATCCAGCACTTGCACCTCTCCACCCACGCACCCCCCCCCCCTTCAGAGTTAAGTCACCTCATTAGATTAGTGTACGACTCTGGTTGCCTGGATGTGAGCCAAATAAAAGTAGTAGAGACTTGGATCTGGTTTGTTTGTTGTGTTTATCCTTGTCACCTTCACAAATGTAACTATTTTATCCAGTCAGTGTAATCCATTTTCTTTGTGGCCATTGCTTAAATTTCATGACTTACAAGACCAAGGGGATTTTCTAACCATCCTTGATTAACTTGCATTTGCAAATACGAAGATGTAGATAGGGCAAAAAATCTACTGGCCAGTAGAATGAAAAAGCATCTCTTCAGTGAAATGCCTAAGCCAGGTCTTATCTGAATCCCAGCTGTCTGATTGACTTCTGCTACAGTAAAAATAGTTTCAACAATACTTACTGTCATTTTAGGGAACTGTCTGTGCAGCTGGAGAACAGATGGTTCCACAGGATCATTTTGTTTTGGACTCAGACTCTGGAATTCTGCTGGTGAATTACTTTGCCGACTTGAACATATAACCCTCTTCTACCATCATCTGTAAAATGAAGATGATGGTTATTAACTAGCAGTTTATGTCTTACACTTTGCTGAATGGTAGAAGAATCCTGGAAAGTACAACAGAAAGAGAACTTTAAGGTGTTT